TCTAAAGCCTTAAACAAGCTCTTCGTAATAGCTCTTCCCAAATTCAATAGCTAAAGTCTTCTCCGCAACACTCAAACTTGTTGCCAATAAAGTAAATGATTAAATTTATGTCAAGCCAAGCTCTTCCTCGTCCCTAATGATCGTCATGAACATTAGCGTCATGTTAAGTCGCGGTCCATGACCAGTGGCGGACTTAGGATCTAAGCTCAGTCCGAGCGGACGTTGACTAGTCAGGGTCGACCATCAGTGATCGTAATAGCAATGTCGTTTATTAATATTTAATTATATAATATTAATAATTCTTCAATATATATGTAAACGCACTAAAAAGTAAAAATTAGGTAATCGATTCGCTTCGCCGGGTCATCTCTCCCTCATCAGCTCCTCTACGGTTTGAGTTTCAATGAATTGGGAATTTGGGGATTTGGATTTTGATTTTGGATTGGGTTTTGTTTGTAGTAATGGGTTGCAAATTGGCCATTGGGCCTTATTGTTTTTTTAAAAAAAGGCACAAGAAATGAAGGTTCAGGAAGGAAAAAAAAAAATGGTTCGCCGACTGCTGCCTTCTTCCCCGACGGAACTTCAAGGTCCCAGCGACCCAACACGGGCGCCCGCCGGGGCTGGCCAGGTGCTGGGTCCACCCTTGAAGCCATCCACCGCCATTCCCTCTCACACCTGGTGGTAGATCGATCGTCCAACAATCGAACCCTTGGGACGCTATCATCTAGTAAAAAAATCCAAGCGATTTGAGTCGTTTCTCTCCGAGCTTGGGATACTGTGGTGGATAACTGTGCGATTTATCGAATGCGTTGTTGCTTAAGGCATTTGCAACCACACATTCCGTTTTGGGAGTTTCAGAAGTATAGTCACTATTACCATTTTGACATTGATGTTTGACCTCGTTGCGATAGTGGTGAAGGTGTTGATGGCTGTGGGGTTGTGGGTTGCAGTGTACAGATTTACGTCGGTGATGGTATTGTGGTGGTGGAACAATGGGTGTACAAATCTGTACGGTGGTATCGTGGATCTGCGTGGTGGTGGTACGGTGTTCAAATCTGCGTGGTGGTTCGATGGCAGAAGCGTTTGGGTGATACCTTGGTGGTAAAGTGGTGGTGGGGTGGAGTATGGTAGAATGAAGAGCGATTGCGATCAATTATTGGATAATTGTGACTAATAAAACAAGTAATTTCTGACCAATAAGTGACATAACCTAAGAAGATGTGATTTGCGACTATATTTGTAATTGTGACCCATAATTTGTGTTTTTGTAACTGTGATATTATGCGATTTGTTATTAGTATGTGATGTGACCATAAATTATTTGTTATTGTGACCTTGATTTGTTTAATTAATTAATTAATTAGTCACAAAATTGTTATAAGACCACCTAATTTCTGAAATTTTTCAACAAGTTTTTTATTTTTGAAAGTGTCTTGAAACTATTGTAGTTATGTATTTTATCCATATTCTTTCCTCAGAAAATCTAAGGTGCAGAACAAAATTCCATTCTGATATACTTTTCAATGGTATTTCAAAATTGAAAGCTCAGCTTCAAGGTTACATCTTTCTCGATGATGTTTGTATTGTTAAAGGATAAATTTCATATAGATTAATCATGAAAAAATTAAACAATATATAAGGATTTGAATTACTTCTTTTAATGAAGTTGATATTTTAAGAAGGAAAATCAAATCTTAATATGGTATCAGAACATATTAAACTCAAACGAGCAAAATTTGATCAGTGTAAAACTCAAAATGATCACATAGACTCCAAAATTGATGTTCTCGAATGAATCACCATCTTGTGGGACAAATTTAAGCCCACGTCGAATAATCATAAAAAAATTAACCAACATAGCAATGGCAATTAAGTGTTCTGGCAAGCCACTAGTAAACCTTTTACTTATAATATTTCGCAATGATCCTTCACNCATTGGGCCTTATTGTTTTTTTTAAAAAAGGCCCAAGAAATGAAGGTTAATAAAGGCAAAAAAAAAAAAATTGGTTCGTCGGCTGCTGCCTTCTTCCCCGGCGGAACTTCAAGGTCCCGGTGGACCCAGCACGGGTGGCCTTGAGGGCTGGCCAGGTGCTAGGTCCACCCCTGTCCATGACACATCAACATGTTTGTATAGTTTCAGCAAATGTTTGACGCACTGGATTAGACCGTATAAGGAATTTAGCACAATTACAATAAATATTAATATGTAGATGGTATTATATTGGATTATAGTAAATAGTATCCATTGATTTTTCATTCAAAAGAATATTATTTACTATTTCTTTCTTTTACATCCTAAATCCTTATCCAACCTCCGCATTATGTTATATAGTTGATAGTGCAAATGACTATTTTTTGAATACTAGTGAGAAGCACGTGCAATGGACATGTCATGATGTAGTTGACTATATAATAGTTTATGTATAAAAAAAATATTTATGTCAAACATTAGTTACATAAAATTTTCTAATAAGTTGCTAAATATTTCAAGACAACATTAAAAACTAAAGTAAAAACAAACCACTCTTAAAAAAGAAAAAAAAAATTAAAAATTCATCTTTTCGCGCAGTGCATCTCTCCGTGCAAGGAGAGATATCTCTCAAGTTTGTGATACAAATTCACATTGTGATACTAAAATTCTCCATTAACTTTTTACTCATCTGCAATTTTTGGATTTCATATTTGGGATGATATCTGTGGATTTGCAATTTAGTGAAATTTTCTTAAGATTTGCGATTAATATGATTAATCGCAAAAATGTGACTACAAAATCCAATTGCTAGAATTCAGGATGCCAAGAGAAATTGCAGCACAATTATTTAGAATCAAATACGAATAGCAAAAATGTATCCACACAAAACGTAATAGCTACAGTTCATAAAAAAAAAAAAGAGAAAATTGCAGATAAAATATTCAAGTTAATCGGTATCAAATACAAAAAAAAAATGTATCTACACCAAACCCAATTGCTAGAATTCATAGGAGGAAACATAAAATTCCAAATAAAATGCTCAAGTTAATCAGAATCAACTACTGATCGCAAAGATGTTTTGTCGAGCTAAATGGGGAAGCTGGACTCGCCTGTATAAAGCGCTTTAAAATAACTTTGCAGGAGGTAGCGACGTGCGAGCAATGAATAGGAGTGGCCTCGTTCGATATCAGATCGGAGCTCCTTAAGCCCTACGAGCATCTGGAGATCGTTCGATAATCAGAAATATTAGAACATTTTAGATCGAATAAAGGAAAATGACAAAACTTTCTTGTTCTTGCTCAATCTCATATATTAGACAATGAAAAGTTGAAACCTTACGGGGGAAAAAAATGAAGAACGGTGGTTTTGGGAAATGA